TTGCATCTTCTACATAGGCCTGGTTCAGAACGGGGTGGCCAACAAACATTCTTAGTGGAGGCAGCATATCCTTGGACCAGCATGTTTTTGGCAGCATAGCTTAAGCAACTTCCCAAACAGAGTCAGCGAGGGCTAGCATAGCTATTCTAGTTGGAGCAATGTTTGTGATGGCTTTTCTGGTCACTTGTATCTACAAAAACCTTTAAGCATCAACCAGGCCTGATTTATGATCCCTGCACATACAGGGTAGCCAGATCTTTAAGTAACAAGGTGGATTCTCTCAATTTCACCTCTGGCACACCTGCCCACAAGTTTTCTAGTTACACCATTGTGTCAGTTTTGCTCTCCTGGCCTCCACTATTTATGGGAGAAGGATTCCGACATGGTCCAAGTTGAGCTTCTGGCTCCATATGGAGACACCTAAATAAATGGCTGGGATGAGCACTTGCATCTTCTGTTGATGGCACTATTCCTTAGTGCCTCTGAAAAACAAAACCAGTTATGAAGAAAAGAAGAACTTGGGCCACACAATTTCAAACACGGCAGAGTATATCTTTTCTATCCTGCCTTTCACCCTTACCTCCCAGCAAAAGAGTTCTCTTGGCTCTTGCGTCGTCTGTCTTGGCTTTAATTTTGCTTCTGCAGGTCACTTCTGATCCCCCTTGACAGTTTCAGGCTTCTACAGTTCTTTTACCAAGCGTCTTCCTATGCCCCCCATTCCCTTGACAAGAGGCTGCTCACAGCTACTAAGATCCAATTTGTGCTCTGCTATAGTTACTATTGACATTGCTGGACTGCTGCTGCTACCTGCCCACATCATGGGCCTTTGCTTTCCCTGCAAACGGATTGATCAAAGAGCCTAGGGGAATATTTGAAAAGATGGCTCCAGGACATAGCGTGAAGGGAAGACCATGGCAGTAACAGCTCAGGGCATGGACAGATACCTAGAAAAAAAAACTCTTAAGTTTATACACCAAAACTCCTCCTCAAAAGAGAGATAATCTTAGAAAAACTGGGAGATCAAGAAACACTTTAAATACTTTTACGATAAATGAACTCACGGGCGTAACTTCAGGGAATCACCAAAGACACAAAGAGAAATTCTTTACCAGATGAAGAGTCAGTCTGGGAATTTTTTTTTAACAGGGCTGCAAACCAAACATTAGTCTCCCTTCAGATCTCTACAGTGGCTCTGAGAGGGGCATCTAAGGACAGACGGATGCGACAACCAGCGCGACTGATCTTGACAGAGGTACTTTTGAGTGCAATTTAAGCAGGTTTTACACTTATGAAAATGATTGTTATAAATCTTAGTCCAGGTTGGACATGTTGAACTTCAACATTTTTAAAGGAGGTATCAAATCAGAAGGGCATGTAGAAACCCATAGCAAAGCTCCATTTATTTGGCAGTTTTCCAACTTAAACGAAATAATTTTGCCAGGTAAACCTCATTCCCAGAAAGTGAGAGAGAGAGAGAAAGAAATTTTGAGGGGCAAAAAAATTAAGATAATTCTGAAACGTGCAGAAATTATTTAATAAAAGATGCTGCTGCCAGACTTGAGCTCCAGCAGTGTGACTGAAACTAGTTTAAAATAAATTTATTTTTAAGACTTTTAAAACAGTAAAACAAGTATGTTTCAACTCAAAAAAGACATCAGAGATGGAAAAACCAATAAAGACAACTATCCCCATCAGGAAGCATTTAAAATTTTGCTTCCTCGCTGGCGTTAATGGCATTTTATAGAAAAAAATCTAAGTATCCAAGGATTAATGGGTTTTTCAACTCACAATGATCCACTTTTCAACCCATTCCTCTAAAAAAAAAAAAATGTACCTTGCTTGGAAGTCACTTAAAAAAAGTGTCTTCTAAAATACCTAGCACCTGTCCTTGCCCATAGAACTTAAAAGTCTAAATATAAATAACATGCAATAAGTAAGGGTAGCAAATGGAGGCTGAGACAAGCTAATGGGTCAACTGCAGTTACTAAGCAGGAACTGGAGTTGTTTGAGACACCCTGTCCAGTGTCTGTGTACACATCCTCACTGTGGGAGTGCATGTGCCACTGCACTCCAGCTTGGACAATTTCTGCCTTAGTAACCACATAGCATGGCATAGCCCCTCCGCTTTCCCCTTTTGCTTCATACCATAGGGATTAAGGGCAATGCATGTTCCCTGCTCCTGGGATTCTTCTTAACTGCAATCCTAAATTGCATGCAACTGGGAGGGAGAGGGGAAGGAGGGCAGGATGCAGATGTACAGATGGACAATGCATCTCTATGGCTATGGATAAGCATACTTTTATAACTGCTTGCAAAGGGGGAGAGGGAGCAGGTGTGCCTAAGGGCTGTTAGGATGCAACTGCTACATCTGCTTGCTCCTGTAATGAAACAAGTTATCCTCTGAATGGCTATAAACTTTAACCCTGAATAAAACAGGGTTGCTGTTACAGGGCATTATCTGCACTTTTATCAGTACAAGAAGTGCACTGATGTTACAGAGGCATTGTTATACCAGCTTACATCAGTATCACTTGGTATCACTCCTGCTAATTCCAGTTCCGGTTACTAGTTCAGTTACTAGCAAGTTAATTTCTACTTGTGTATATCTGCAAAACAATGCCCATGTACCTGGAAAGGGGTTTCCAATTCCCCTAGCAACTGAAAGACCAGCTTATAAAACACAACCTCTACCCTGGTTGCCAAAGAGGGACAAGAGACCAGGTCTACAGCTCAACTTATAGTTCACATCCCTGACAGATGAGATGCACTCATCCCAGTACAGGTCAGGCTACTCAACAGTGCAATATAGATAACTCCTTCTCAATCTTCTCAAGGTATTTCAAGGCATATTAGGTAGGGCTCTAGAGGAAGTGAAGGCACCTATATCAGAGCCAGGCCAGGGAGGAGGTAACCCATGGTTGAATTGTATCCAGGCACTACAGTATGCACCCAAACACCAGTGGGTTCATGAGCCAGGTAGTGGTTGAAGGGATGGGAAGCAGAAGAAGAAATCATTGCGGGAGACGCAAGGCAACATTTGATGTAAGGTGGGAGATTGTCTGCACCAGAGAACTGCTTCTTTCTACAATTCCAGGGAACCTCGATTTATTCCTAGGAAGTCCCAGAAAATCAATACCAGAGGAAAAGAATGACAGACAGGCATAACAAAGGAGGGTAAGCCAGGTACTTGTGTCCGTTTATGCTGGGGAGAATACTCCAAGTGAACTTGAGTCAATTCCTAGAAATCCAGAGCTAACTTTCTCTAGGGAGGGTCAGAAGGGCTTGGGGCGCACAGATGTCATCTGATGGGATGACAAAAGGGTCAGGATCTTGTCTAGTAAGGACCACAACAGATTAATCTTTCAGAGATTACCTAGTCCTGAACCCAGATCCACAGAATGCCTTCAGTCTAGGGAAGAAGCTGTAGACTGGCCTGAACCCCAACAGGGGAAAGTTGACAGCCAAACTGCTAGAAAGGCCACCATGAAAAGGTCAGGTACAAGCTCTGCAGCCAGTGCTGGACCCCAAAGGGCACTCTGGAGAACGGGAACTACCCTGTTCTAGTGTCTCTGGAGCAGAATTTGTGGACCAAATTGCATCACACACAGTTGGAACCAGATGCAAACACCAGGAAGACAGTCTCTTTAGGTAGCATCAAAAAATGGATCCAAAGCTGGGCCCAATATTAACGCTATGGACAGGACCTAGCCTCTCTCTCCAGAGTCACGTGCAGCTCTTCAGAAGTTAATATGCAGCTCCTTGAAACTCTGCACAAGCACACGATGATCAGCTGGGAAGCTGGTCACCGTGTACTTGTGCAAAGATTCAAGGAGACTCTGGCGCCACAGGTTGATCACCCCTGCCCTAATTGATCACATTGACAGTACTGATTGCAAAGGGATCCTGAAACTGCCTGGCACTGCACATACATGGGAGGCCAAAGAAAATTAGAGCTGTGGCTTATCATTGGACTTTATGAAGCTAAAGCCCAGAATTGTCTGATAGAGCAGTTCTGGAAAAATGTGTGGTGCCAGCCACATCTTGTATCCCAAGACTGGCAACTACAGTAATAAAGCAAAGCAACGCAAAGCAAAAGAAAAATGTTACCTCCCAATGTGTCAGGTAAAGAAATAGTTAGGATTTGTCTTTTCAAATCTGAGACTCTCTTTGTCATTCCATCATGGCTCAAAGAAAAGGGGAAGTCTGGGAGGCATTTACTCAAACAAGTCTTCAATCTTTAAAAAAAACAAAAAAAATTGCGTAGCAGCCAGAAAGTTCATTTAACTCACAGTCCAGCATGTTCCTACATTTCATAGATGTCTACACCGAAGTAGATAGAGTTCTCACCAGAATATTGAACAGGTAAAATTATTTTGGATAAAATCCAGCACCTTGCTAGTGTGTGTGTTGAGCTGCTAACTCTTAGCTTTCCCCGTAATTTCCAGAGTACATTGGAGCACCACGCAGTTAATCAAAACAAGATGCCTCTGAGCAGCTAAGTGCTGCAAGTGCTGGCTGTGGAGCAGTAGGACCACCCAAGAGTTTTCTTAAAAAGTAAACTCCAAAGAAAGCCTCACAGCTGGGAAACCAAGCTTAGACAAGCTAAACATTCCCCTCCCCACAACGTGTAATGTAATCCAACATTGAGGGTAGTGGATAAAAACCTCCTCATTAACAAATACAGCTGCACACACATATTTCATGTTTGGCTAGCTTTCCTGTGTCTCCAAAACCTGACTTAGAAACATGTCAAGCAGAATGGTTAAAACACAACCGAAAATGTTCGTGATGCTTCTCCTCACTTAACACACAGACTACACTGTTATTCTGAAATACACCTGCAGCTGTGTACGGGCAGTCATTTTGTATGTTTTCCCAACACCCCCCATTTAATCATTGCATCTGTTTGAACCATTTAAGGAGTACATATACTGAGCAAGTCAACTGAGAAAGTATGCAAACTTTGCTTTTTAAATAACCAGAGGGGGGGAAAAAATCACTTACAGCAACAATTTATATTTTATTTTCTCTTTAGTTTTGATGTGCAATATGTTCAGCAAATAGTTTTGTATTTAAAAAACACATCTAAAATTATATTCCTGCCTTTTAATTCGAATACAGCTGCTTTTGGTGTTGGGGCTCCAAGCTTTTGCCCATCATAGCCCTCAACCCAGACAAGACAGCACCATGGGACTTGTGTGGTATGCAGTTCATCATATCCTTCATTTGCTAGTATGATCCAACTGAACATTATGTAGAGACAAAGACTGATGTACCAATGACAAGCCCACACAAAATGAATGTGACAAAAAGCAGTACGTGCCTCACAAATGCTTCCACAGCATTCATGTCCAGCTAGCTTTAATTCACCAAAGCTTGATATAACATAGCTGCTCTCTTGGGTATGACTTGTTAGTATTACTAACCTTGAACTGCTTAAACGTGCACAAAAAATTACCTGAATTTTGAAGATTAAACAAAAATTAGCACATTGGATCTCAGCTTCACTTCCAAATCTTTGTTTCAAATTTATTTGAACAGCTGGTGCATGGAGTCACCACTTTTACTACCGTTAAACTTTTTGTATTTGGGAAAAAAAGACTAAGGGAATTACCTAAATACCTTTGTTGCTAATGTTTTTTAATTGCTTTCTTTCTATAACATACTGGCACGTTTTTTTAAAAAAAGGTAAGAGCAAAACATCTACCACTGTCATTCCTAGTTTGTTTCTATGCTTAGGGCAAAGCAGAGTTGGGGGCTTGCTTTACAAGACGACAAAACTGTGTTTAATGCAATGATATGTTTGAATCAGCTTTTATCCCTTACCTAATTGGTGGGTAAAGTCCTGATCAACTAAATCTTATTAGACTACTTATTGCTATACTTATTGCTCACTGCACCCAACTGTTTCCTTGCATTCAGGAGGCATAAGTGGATAGTGTTTAGTCGTGACAGATCTGCAAAACCAGATGAAGATTTAGGTCTGCTGCTCTTGGAGAACTGCCTTCTTAGCGTTTTTGACACAACCTCCTTATCTGCTAGATGAGTTAGGAGTCATTCTGTTTTGAACAAGGCAATGTTTTTGATGATGAATTACCAAATACCAAGTTAGAAATTACTTTTAACCCAACAGTTGGCCAATTTCTTCAAGCTGGACCCAGATCAGGTCATTTGATACTCCGTGTTTTAAGCAATGTTTGTGTCATTTAGTGAACTTCAAATTTAACCCCGGACAAGGAATTTCACCGAGGCATAGTAATGCAGAAATAATGAAAGCTGGGAGGCTATAGGCCACAAGGGACAAAAAGTGGAAGAACTTTAAATAAAGCTTATGGACAACCTGAACTGTTAGTCTTGAGTCACAAATAAAGAACCTTTTTCCCATTTTACAAGTTGCTTTAAAACACAATTTGCATTCCCTGCAAGGGAAAAAATAAAAAAGTGTTGAAAAGCAAGTCACTATATACTAACTTCACTGAGCTCAGTGACATCTGTTCAAAAGTTTTTTTGTTTAACCTCACAGGCAAGATCCAGTCGTCTCAAAAGGAAGCTACACTATACATTGGAAGTGCAGCTCACTTACAGTACAGCAAGGTATTCCTCTTTTTCAGATGTATTTGGGTAGCTGTACTACACACTATTTCATGATCTTGAAGGGAGATTTTTATTTATTTGCGTTTTAATACTGCAGAACAGGCTAAATGTTGCATGTTTACTTGGCTGGAACACCAGAGATGTGTCCTACATTTTATCATATTCGTTCCTCTGTTCTCAATTAAAAAAAACCATTGGTATTTAAATTTCCAAAACCAACTACATGTCAAGGAGGATGCGTTTCATGCTACTGTTATCACTTATTAAAGGGGGGCAAGCTATTTTGACACAGATGTATATACACCATAACTGAAGAGGAAAAAAAATCTAACAGATTTTCTTTCTAAAAATAGCACACTGACCGTAAGACCATGTGTGATTTTGTTGTGCAGTTAGACGCAGAAACTAGACCATGAAGCAATTATGGAAGCCTGCTTTCAGAACTGCACAAGTTTTAAAAGAATTAATACTAAAATGATCATTTTCTCTTAAAATGAAACAGAAGGAAGAAAACATGCACCAAACAGAAAGGTTAAATGTAAGCCTTATAGGCATGGGTCCTCAGGCCCACTGCAACATCTGAAAAGGGAGGTGCATCTCTAAAGAGGGATGAACTACAGACACAGAAAGAAAATGTTGCTTTAGGTCTGCCAGGACAAATCTTCATGAAGGGGTAAAACTGAGTTGAATGGTTAACATTACTTTCAACTAAAATTCAAGGATAGATCAGAGTCAGCTGTATTACTCTTGGTTGACAGTATGCAACACAAACATCCTATCAAATGCCAGCAACAGTACTGAGGGGAGGGAATGAATTGCATGCTGTTGTGCATCACATGTTGAGCGCTTAGCTAAACATGCTCCTTTTACTGGCTGTAAAGATACAATGGCAAGTCTCAATTTCATGTTCAGAAATTTCATTAAGGATGGCTGGCCAGCCTCCATCTCGAGACAAACTAAACAATGATGCTGTAATTACCTATGAGGAGATTAAAATAAAAAAGATCCATCAGTGCATGACACAAAGTATAGTGTTACACAGACAGAATGCGACTAATCAGATGCTTTAAAATATATTAAAGTCTATTTTAAATTTTGGAAAATAGCTTATAAAAATATCTTTTTAAACTATTTATTGTACAAAAATTGACTCGTGCGGCTCTGTAGTAGTAAACTACTACTGGCGATTACAAAAAGGAACAGTAATCTATAACGACCTTTCACTGCAAGTAAAGGGCATTATTTATTACTGCCACGGTAATAGGTCTCTTACCGTAATGGTAATACATTTCTGCTATAACCCCGAAATTTAACGTCTATTTAACTGAACCTGAACTTCAGTTCAGTTTCCTATTTTAAAAAAAAAAAAAAAAAGTCACCACAGTGGTGTGGCCCAAGAACAAAGAGGAACCCAAAGAGGGCAGAACTACCTACTCTCGATATAGCAAGTCTTGTAGAGCAGCGACATACAGAGAAATCTTAGTTATTTCTCCTGTCCCTATTATTAGTTTTACATCATAAAAGTAAGTGACAACAGTGGGCAATTCCTATTTAATCAAGTAATGGGCAGAAACCACCGCTTTTTGGTCTAGGACTTTGAATTAGTTTAAATCCACAAATTTAATAAATACAAATATACACATTTGTATACATTAAATGTAGTCACATGTGTATAACTTTACATATATTATATACAGAAATACATACAGTACATGCTCCTCCTGATAATACTCTCTCACTATTGAGGTGTCATCAAAAGGTGTTGATGAAAAAAAACGTAGAGGTTAAATATAGCCATGTAGCTGAGAACCAATGCATGACCTGTATACCAAAGAATTATAGCAAATACAGTTAGGAACAAATACTGCCCTAGATTTCTCCATGTACATCTTATTAAAAACAACTAGGTGCTCTAAGTGTGGGGTCAAAGCAGAATTTGCAAAATGTGTAGATATTTGTGCAGTGTAACAAACACTGCACGTATACAACAGTTAATGAACGAGGTGGTATAATCTAACACTTTAGCCAGTCCCAGAGTAGACTACAGCAGACTTCCAATTCTTAATTGCCACCATAAATTGGCTTAGGATAGTCTATATCAAAGGAGTCCATGGTTTCAGTGAATATGAAAGAAAAAAGGTCAGTTACTGGCTACTGGGGAGCTTGCATCATTCACTCTCTTTAAAAAAAAGCTGTGCAGCAGATGTAAGCAGCTTCTTAAATACACAAAGGGCTGATCTTAGGTGTTGAGTCTTCTCTTTCAACTTTATCTCAAAATAAAGCTCAAAAGAAGCCACAAGAAAATGGATCACAAGAATGCCTCCTTAATACAATTTCATAACACAAGCTAGTCAGTAAATTCCTGTTTTAGAAGTGTTTACAAAAAACGTGAAATGTAGAACACAAAATGTAATCTGGACATTACGATGGTTTTTCAAAACGAACATGATGCTAAATGCACAATGAGAAAATGAGGGCAATGTAAATGTCAAGACATTCAGCAGCCTGGCCTTTTTTCATCTTAAAAATACAGCACATCTCATGCACCACACGTTTTACAATTGTACATACTTTACATAATATAGAAATATTTAAGTTAAAATTTCTCTGTCTGATCTATTGTACTCACATTTTAAATCCTGAGAAGAAAAAAAAAGTGTGGTTATGTCTGCACACTACAGCCCCCACACCGACACATACTCCACAGGGGATTAGAGTCCAGAAATAGAAGAACTACATGCTGGGAGTGTTACTCATGAAAACTGGTTTCTCTGTTCTTTGTTTAGGAGAGACATTAGGAAACAATTTCTAATCTGTACTACACCACGGTATGTATATACCTACATAAAACTATAATGGTTTCTAATGAGTGCAGCTTGCACTGAGACAGGATTTCTGCCAAAGTTTCAATACCAGCAGCAACACGGTGACTTAAGTTGAACATCAGAAAGAGCAATACCCGGTTACCTGCATGTTGTACTCACCCATATCTTACAGTTAGTAATGGCCTCTTAGATTAGTTCTGAACATTACTTTAAACATATGTACATATTTCCCTTCACCACAGTTGCCCATTGTCAATAGAAGTGTTCCCTTATACCTTTCCTGTGATTCTCTGTGGTGTACAGTGTTTATCCTCCATGCAAAAGTATCATGGAAATAAAAACCAACCAGTTCATATTATTACAAGTGCAAACACCAGCTGCTTTCTGAATCTTTATGTTCCTCCAAACATTCATGCCAGATTCCAATGCAAGACATCCAGTTGACTATGAAACACCAGGGTGTTTAGCATGCTGTGATCTTGTGAACATTTTGCAAACAAGTTAGCAGACAATGATAGGGGCTTCCTGGCGATGCCACAACCTCAAACACAGACTGAAAGGCTCTCCGGTCTAGCTCTTCGTCTATTTGATGTCTGTAGAAATCGATGGCCACCAAACAGAAAAGGTTAACATCCACTTGCTCTGATTTTCCCATTCTGCTGATAATATGTGGAAGACTGGGAAAGAAGTTAAGGACATAATAAGAGAAGACAAACTTTAAAACCTTACGTAAGTGCTTAAAAAGCACACTGTTCTCCGATAGAGTTTTTTTTTTTTTTTTTGCTTAATCAGTAGTTCCAAGGACAAGGCATCTGCTTGTAGCATTTCAAGTGCCATACAAAAAGCTTTATTTCTTAGCTAACCTCATGCAACTTCCTTAGTAATTCTACCAAATTAATTTAAAAAGGTATCAAAATTTTTATCTTGTTTTACTGGGCCCTCTTCAGCAATGCAGTTATGCACTACCTTCAACTAAGTGGGATTACTGAAATAAAAATAACGATCAAGGAAATGTAAAACATTGCAGGAAAATTCACACACAGACCACTTCCCAAGCACCAGCAAGGTGGGTTTTCTTGAATACAGGTTTCTTCTTTTTTTTTTTTCAGTAAAGTGCAAAGCAGACAGCACAACTGGCTCTTTCCAAGTACTCTGGAAAATATCACCATGTTGCTACAGTTTAAGATGACTAAAATGTGCCTGATGGAGGATACTCACATTATAGGGTTATTTTTGGGAGCAGAGACAGAATAGATGAGGATATTATTTTTGGAGAGCTTTGTTAGAATGACACAGTGCTTCTGAATGCTTTTAAAACACAAAATAAAAAAAACAACATTGAACACATGTGGTAACAAGTTCTAAATGTAGTTCCCCTGATCACTGATTCTTCCTACAGTACTTACAGTACAGTTTCTCAACATACTCCCTTCTAGCTTACACAGTCCTTTCCATTAAAAAAGTTTACATGATTAAAGGAAAGATTTTCCACAGTAATACGAGGTTTTTGCCATGACTTGCTCCCCTCAAGATGAGATGGACACTGCTGAACCTGACATACTGCTCAAAAATGTACCCTAACCTGGTATTTATAATTTAAACCTGAAAGTAAAGTTATAGACTATATCCAAGGTTGGCACCAACATTAAAACTACTACAGTTGGTATTAGCTGGAAACCATGCTCACAATTCCAAACTGATTCACAGAGATTAAAGCCTTTCTCCATATATACAGGTGATCATTTAAAATTCTTGGATAAGTTTATGGAGATAGGATTACAGATCAGGATCTTCTAATTCTTCACTTAGGGACCTGACATGTGGAGTTGTGCTCATTGTCCCAAGGGTGCAGAGCAGAACAGAGGGTGTTTGATTTTTCCAATGCTTCTGGGCTTTGCTGGTTACTGCATGAGGCCAGGAAGGAAGTTTTTCCCTCTTGCTGCTACAGGTGTCAAATGCTTTTGTTTTTTTGTTTGGTTTGGTTGGGTTTTCTTTTGGGGGTGGGGGGGGGAGGAAGGG